GATCCATGGGATACACCTATCATGTTCGGCACATGCGTGAAAGAGCTGGACTATCTGCAACAAGGCTAAAGTAGGACTGCTCCCCTTTATCAAGCTGTACCTTGCTCCTTCGTTGTCCACGAAGAATATCACACGGCGATCTTTAATGCACTGTCTAAGCTCTACTCGGGCAAGAAGAACTGCAAAGGCTTCGGCGAGAGTTATCACCTGCTGGCTTCCTAGCTCACGCCACAGCGACACTAGGCTGGTTGGGATTTTGCCGCCTAGAGCTGTTCTCACCCCACTGACTGGGTCAAGAAGCACGATCCCCCAGGTTGCCACATCATCCTCGTAGGCCGCGTCTGTGAATACCAGAACAGGTTCCAACCTTCCTCCTGGACGCACCTCCCTGGGAGAAAGGACACTCAAAACACTCCTAGCCCAGTCGCACAAGCTCGCTACCTGCCTCTTGTGGGGCTTGCAGGATTCCGTGGACAACGCTGCAAAGGCGCGCGCTGGAACCTTTAGCGTGTAGCCAAGCACAAAACTCAAAGCGAAGTTCAAGTTTCCGTGGATTACCTGGGCCTGACGCCTGGAAATCTGGTCCTCTTCTTGAACCTCTTTGAGCAAAGCGTCAATCTTGGCTAACCTACCAGGCTTGTTTTGGGTGATCAACGAGTTCCCATGCAAACCACCTACATTAATCCTAGCACCCAGAACATCGAATGTCTCTTCGAAGGGGTGAAACTTCTTGGGGTCGTCAGCGTACCTCCACCCTAAGGCTTTGAGCAAACCTTCAAAGGACCGAGTTGCAAGCGCACACATGGGCTCAGGCTCAACTATGGGAAAGTCATCGAAGAACACGCCTCCAAGGATCTTACATCCTAGACTGGCAATGTGCCACAACGATCTAGACACTCTGTTGAAGCCAAAGACACTGGAGCTAGCGCCAAAAGGGAGACTGCGACTGACAAAGTAAACAGGTTTCCCAGTTTCATGGTGATGCACCATTAAAACTGAAAAGGGCCGCGAGGCCTTGCTGACTGGGATCTGCTTATAGGCTTTGGACAAGTCCACGCAGCGCGCTTTCCACCGCATGGGGCGGTCAAAGTCTCTGCGCAAGTGCCCTGTCAAGGTCGCGCCATCTCTTAGGGGGATCACTACGGCCCTATCGGGGCGATCGAGCGCATGTCGAACAACAGTGGTCACAAAATGACACAGCGAGGTGACATAATCAATGTCATGCAGCGAAAGCTGGTCCACGGCTGTAAATGCTTTGTTCACCCCGCTCTCCTTGGGATCATCTATTATCCCAGGCTTGTCACCCTGAATGATGGCGAACCTCCTACTGCAGACAACATCTCTGGTTCCAAGCACCTCACGGACCTCATCCAGCTGGAAGAATGGCCCTTGCAGGAACCCTTGCTCTACTTCACTCAAAGTAGTCTCCCGCAAGGTCTTCGCGAGCTCAGGGTCATGCTCATGTATGTTCCTGGCTTCAATCTGCTTCCTTTGCCACTTATTTGTCAACAAGGCAAAGTGAGGTGTTGTACTGGCTGGCACGATTTTCGTACCGAAGAAAGGTGAGCGCTCTGCCACACCCACCAAATCCACTCCTTGCATCAAGTCAAAGACATTCAAATCCGGGCACCCAGACTCCTTCAACATATGCTTAAACAACAACAACCTTTTGCCTTTCAAGACCTCCTGCGCGTGAGCTGGCAGGGATGCGTGAAAACGGGCTTCTTCACACGCCAGCTCTTTCGAAAGTCCTGCTACCTTCCTGGCAAACTCAAGGCGCTGGTTTGCAACAACACTCAAACCCCTAGTCAAGAGCTCGAAAAGGTTTTTTCTTGTGATGTCTTCGACTGCAAATTTTTCATCGAAGGGATGTTTGACTGCCAAAGCTCGGTGGATGAATTGCTTTGGTGTGTGATAGACCCCAAAGGTGCACGATTTGTCACCCCCCTGTAAGGCATTCTCTTCCCAACATTCTTCCTCCCCGTGGCAATCCCCCGTACGAAGAGGAGGAAGGAGTTTGTAAGCACCACTGGACGGTTCCACGTGGGTCAAGTGGTGATATTCCGGAACCAAAGAGGCATGTTTCCGGTTCTGGCGATGCGCACTCGGGAAGGGTGGATCGGGAGTGAATTGGAAGCGTGGTTCCAAAACATGCTTGAGAAGCGCAACAAACCGTTGGCACAACAGGAGGGGATACTCACTCTCGACCGCGGTGTCAAAAGTCCAAGATCCCTGGGCTCGATACAGAGTATAGGGCTTGTGAGCATGATCACCTGGGCATGGTTTGGCCAAGGAATTCAAACACTCATGGGTGGCCTTAAACAGGGTCAATTTAGGACGATCCCCTCCATGGGCACACTTGCTGAACTCCACGTTGCGCATGGAATCCCAAACTCTTTGCAATCGGTGACAGCGGCTGGCTTGCACAAAATGACCAAGGACTAACCACATCCAACTATTGCGAGGATTCTCAATAGAGAAAATGGCTGCGAAGTCAATGGACAAGCGCAAGAGCTTAACAACAAATTGCGCTAAAATATTGGCGCTGGTGACCTTGACCTGCTCCCGTTCAGTGAGGTGTGAAAGGCCGAGTGGGAAGGACTGAGTTCGCAAAGGCCTCGGTTCGGGAGCCCCTTGTGCTTTGAGATGCTTGGCAATAGGCTTCTCACGGGCGCGGGAACCTGTCCCACAAGGCAAGGCCACGTGAATAGCCTGCGGTCTGATCGAGGTCAAAGTCTCCACAAGGCAGTCCTGAGCACGCGAGTCGGTGAGGTCTAGAACCAAAAGCTTGCACTCATATCTGTGTTCATTTCGCGGGCCATCGACTGGAATAGTGGCGAAACCGACTTGCTGGGCACAACGGCTTAGGCGAGCACACCCAGCGAAGATCTCGACAAAAACTGGTTTGTTGGCGTGACTAGGCAAAATTCGTGCTAATTCATTGTGACACGGACTGTGCTTGAGGCGCTTTGTGGCAGCTGAAGGGCTCTGTGAGGACGAACCAGCTGACGAATGGAAAACATAACTCTTATTTATTTTCATTAGGTCCCAGAGTCATCGTCTAAGCCGTGTAGGGCCCAACCTCTGTTTCAATAGTCTTACCGCTGCATCCAAGGGCCCCAACCGCCAGGCCAAGAGCAGGGGGCCCCGGCTGCTCCTGAAGATGAGCACTGATGGTCCTGAGGCGGGCCGTCATGGTGCAAAGGCCTCACCTTTGGTGAGGCCTGCGCCTGTCATGAATGATTGCATGAATGAAAAGGCTTTGGCTTGAAACACTTCCAGCAAACATGAAAGCCACGACGACAACGCTTGCCCTCTTTCGCAAAAGTGCATTTGCCACGGTTGAACAAGTTGCAAATGGGTTTGTTCTCAGGGGTCATCTGGCTGCAACCCGGCGGCAACGAAAGTGGTGGCTGGTCCTTCCAGAATTCATTGCGCACCTTGCCTTTTCCATCTTTATCTTTACCTTTTCCCCGTCCTTTTGGGTCTTTGGGGGCTTGCCACACAGTTTGGACCTTGACCATAGGAATCATGCAGAACTGAACCTCGGCGTGATTCATGCACTCATCAAAAACAGACTCCATGGGCTTGGTCCCGTCCGGCTGGATCGTCAGTTTTCCTCGGGTTTTCTCAGCAAGCTTCCGGAACAAGGCTTTGTCAGCCTCTTTGATCTGGTGCAATGTGATAGGCATGGCGTTAGGGGCTGGATCACGACTGAGCAGCTCAAAGATGCGTTCGCGCCATTCTTCCATCTTGACAAAACCACAAATCTTTGCAGGGTCGAAAGCACGGGCCCGACGGTTCAAAGCCTGACGCACATTCATGTCGCCCGTCACCGAGGCCTCTGGATCAGCGAACTTCTGCGCGACCTTCAGAGCTCCTTGCGAGTCAAACGACAACTTGAAATCCTTCTGTGAATGAGTAATCTCTGACGCTCGATTGGTCAGCTTTTCCCACGGTAACCACTCCAAGTTCTGATCGACCCCCATTTGCACTACAAGGTCCACTAGCTTATGGCTAGGTTCAGTCTCCGGGCTAAAGTAGATTCCTACCAATCTCTTCTTCTGCTCAGCGATTCGCGCATTCCTCTCGGCCACCGGCATCCTTGTAGGCTCTGTAGCGTCATCTCTCTGGGTGCGTTGCGTCAGCTCACTGATGCTCAAAGTACAGGACTCGAAAAACAAGCGTCTCAAAATGATAAGCTCTGGATTGGTTGGATCACGCCCTAACACTGTTCGCAAGGCAGTCAAAAGTGGCCCCTCGTCGGCCTGTCCTGGTCGATAGGCTGTAATGAATGCTAATGATCCGAAGGAAGTGACTCCATTTCGACTCAACAAATCAACCGCAGACTCCAAATTTGAGGCCATTGAGCTCACCCTGCGACCAATTTATATCCCGCGTACAGTACAATGGAATGCCATCAACTGATCCTGTTCAAAGCAATTGCACACGTTGACAAGTGCACTTGAGGGATTGTAGCTTGCGCATGAGTTGTTCTACATGTCGCATTTGAATTGACCCCGCAGCTTGAACCTATCAATGCATGAGTACGGTGATGGATCAAGCATGTTTGCAGAGATTAGATGTCTCCACTGGCTTGCACCGCTGATTGCATTGAAGCGTTGGCTGAAGTCCATCTCGTTTGTTTACAAGGCTGAACTCGTTTGGCAAAAAGTTGAAAGGGCCTCCCCGGCTCGACGTTGTCATCATTCCACGGACTCCACGGACGGGGTCCTGACCGAAAAGGTCGACATCGCTTGTGAAGGATTCAGCCTTGCTCGAGTGGCGAAAAGAGACAATTCATCGCGATCAACCAAAATCACTATACATGTACGCGAAAGCCTTTGCTGGCCAAAGGCGCAAAGGAAAGTGAAAATGGTATATTTCACATGAAAGCTACTCCACATAGATGTAACATGTCTATTTGCCGGCAAAAGCGCTCCAGCTCACAATTCAGCGTCACGCGGACCATCTTGGGGGATGAACCACAAGAAGCACGCTATCCACCCTGCAGAGAATATGCAAGCAGCCACCGCCAAACCTTGAGGCCAGCTCCAGCTGGGGTGTTTTTCGGCAACTGGATTGCCGCTTTACCCCTGGCCACTGGCTTGGCCACGTACGTCGAAGTCGGGTCGGATCCCGCGGGCGGTTTGAGCTAGTGCTGATTGCGGTGGTGATGCCGCTGTTGCACAACCGAGGACTCTTTCCAAGACGCGTTCTGATTCCACACTCAACTCGTGGGTTCTGGGTCCGCGCGCGCGCGCGCCCCCCGGAGGTTGTTTTGGTGCCCTGAAAGGCGCGCGCGCGCACGGACCCAAACCATGGATCTTGACAACGAGACGTGTCTAATCATGTCTGCACACATGTGTATCCACAATTGGCCAATGACATTCTTTCCATCTGAGAATGAAGTGTTTGGCAAAAAGGACTTGTGCGAAACCGGGGAAGTTTATACATCCAAAGGAAGAATGCTCTGCTGCATTTTGCGTCCGACTTTCCCTGCACGCACGAGCCTGCACTCCTAACTGGCTGGTGGCCTACACTGCAAACAAATTGGGAGATCACAAAAATTCGAAGCAGCCGAAAGGTTCTGGAAATTCTTCGAACTGGTCCTGCCACATCTGAAGACCCTGGCCTCTCCATCGCTAAGGATATGCACCACACCTGAAAAGCTATGGATCCTCAGTCGCGACAGGTACTCCAGTGGCAGATCATCCCAACTGGGCCGCTCCTGCTTTGGAAACTTTGCAAGCTTCACCTCATCAAGTCCTGCATCACTGTCTGAACTAGCTCCCGAGCCGCCTTCCTCTCCAACCTCCTTGGCAACAGCTTTGAAGAGTCGCTCTGCTCGGTTGGCATCCGGCTTGAAAATGTGAGCCTTGACGTCATGCAGCATCTGGTGGACTGTGACCATGATCCGAGTCAGCTCATCACGAGCGTATGCAACTGCACTCTGGTTCTCACGGCTCATATGATGGCCCATCACCAACCTGTCAGGCACACTCAAATAGTTTCCTTTTGCTGCCCATGACAAAAATGTGGTTTTCAACGAATGGCAACCAATGTGCTCCAACTGCTCGGAAGTGAAGGCCGACGCCGTAAGGAACTCCTTGAGGTAAAGAGCTGCTTCGCCTGTGGTCATGCGTCGCTCTAACCAGTCTTTTGTGATTTCACTGAATGCAGGCAAAGAAGGATCCAGCCCAATCCTGTAGCGTTCACGCAGCTCCATCCAGTCGCCGGCCCATGATGACCGGCTGACGCCCAAGGCTGATGATGGGCAGGAGCTTCAAACGCCTCTCCTCGTTTTGAGAAGTAGTCTTGAAGGATCTGGACTCCCCTTCAATGAGCTGCAAATCATTGTGAGAACTGATCGACAAGGAGGCGAAATGAATGGTGTCCCCAAACCTCGAACAACTTCCCAAGCACATCAACAAATGGCCTGCGATGATTCTCCAGTGATCGTACGGTGCAAAACTCACCACGTTCTCCAGAGCTACTATCATCTTTGCAGTCAATGGATGTGCCTGCTGCAAAGGCCGCTTCAATGCCATGCAACCCCTAGCTGCACCGCGCACTCGAGATGAAAGCAACTCATCTAAAGAATGGCACAACAATCCAATGCTATGATGCAGAAAGTTCCAGGCTTGAAGGAAAGAGGTTGCTGTTGTGGGTGTCCTTCAGGTGTTCCATATACCTATATATCATAGACTCAGACGAATCCAAAATGGAACGCAAATTATTTGACACTGCCCACTCATTGTACCTCCACAAAGCCCCTGCACGCTTGGCCAAAGTGGCCGTCGACGGGATTGGACAAGATGATGGTTTTTAACATCCTCAAAGCTTGCCAACGCAGCTGATCGTCTGTTCGAACGACAAGGTCGACCACTGTCCGTGAGGCTGCTCCACAACACTAGTAGAAGCTGGGGTGACCACTGAGGCGTCATTCCAATTCTGGGTGGAACAAAAAGATGATTGAGTTGCATCCTAGGGGGGTTCAACATGTCCTCCACCGGATTCTCCACCATCTTGGGCTGCTGAAGCCTGTTCAAGCGAAGGTAAGCATCAAAAACAGATGCACTCATGGGCACCAAAGTGCTTGGCTGTGAAGATGACCCAAACTCAGCAGCTGCAGGGCTAGAGGACTTCGGTGCCCTCACAACTTCAGACTCGGATGACACCGATTCCGAGTCCGAAGCTGACTCCATTTTCCCCTGCCTACGCCAAAACGCATACCGAGTTTTGAAAAAGGGTCATTGCCCTCCACACCCACCTCAGCCAAACTGCGCGCCACACTAAAGATTATGTGAACTAACAGTTTGACAAATGAGATCGACACTTTGTTTTTTTTGAAATAAGCTTTTTCCAAAGACAAGATGTTCAGAAGCATCTCTTTTTTTTCCTCCCCCCGTGGTCAAGATGACCACTGTGAAACTAAAAAGACAGTTTCATCCCCTTTGGGTATGTGCACCTTCTTGAGCACCAACAGCAGCCAACAACCCCAAACAGCAACAGCAGCAAAACGGAGCAGACAACAAGCAGCAGGCAGCCAGCATCCAGCAGCAGCAAGCACGCAAGCAGCAGCAACCAGCAAGCAGCCAAGAGCATCCAGCAGCACCAAGCATGCAAGCAGCAAGCAGCAGCAACCAGCAAGCAGCCAAGAGCCAGGCGCAGATGAAATGCAGCAGGAGCGACCAAGCAGCAGCAGCAGCAGGTACCGAGGAGGAGAAGGGTGGAGATGGGTTTCTGGAAACCACTTGAGCTTACCCAAGCTAACTCGGGTCACACGGTCGATGGACAGCTGGACTGGGCCTTCATCATCATCATCATCCCTGGCGTCCTGTAAGTCAGAGTCATCCATTGGCCAGGAGTGACTCCCTGCAGGCAAGCAAGGCTACAAACGGTCACTGCAGTCTGTGGCCAGGAGTAACTCCAATAGGCACGCTAGTAAAGCTCACTGGTAGAATGGGGATTTTTGAATCGAACCCAACATGTCATCGCGTTGGTCGCGCGTTGGGTTTGCAAATTTGGAGTTCATTGAGCTTGAAAAGCCACCGCTGGTCCCAGTGTTTGGCCAAGCTTCCTGGAAGCGCAGTTACTTTGGGCAGTGGAACGAAGGATTGTCCTCCTCTTGTCCTTGTGTTGGCCGCACCCCTGAACTCTGTGGCTGGTCTCTGTGGCCCGGTTTACTGGAGTGGAGTGTGGTCGAACAAATAGCGATGTCAATGCCGACAAAAACTCATTGATGAAGCAGTTTGCTCTTGGGGTGAAGGTAGGGCGTACCAAGAAATCAACTTTTAACTAATATTGGTCTAAACGAATCGTTTTGAAGCTGTTTGGGGTCTATGCTTGTGTAATTTGTTCTTTTCATTTTCTGCGCGAAAAAAACGTCCTAGCTTCTACACGTTCTAGGCGACGCTAGTTACTAGATGCTCTGTGGTTGTTGTTTTTTTTGCTTTGGCGCCTTGTTTCCAACCACCGATGGCCATTGCGAGTGGAAATTGTGCACTGAGGAATATGAAAACCAAACATGTCTTTGACAGGCATGATTCCGTCAGAGGCGGTTGACAGTCCAACACCAGGATTCAAAAGGTTGCAGGCTTAGACTGACATGCCCACATATACTTCATGGAACATAACAAAAGGCAAAGAACAAGCTGGCCAACAGGTCATGTTTTTTGGGAGCCATGGTGTTTGTTTGGCTGTGCAGCTACCGGTATCCTGCGCGACAGATGTTGTTTGATGGGAAGAAACGGCTGTGCGTTTTCCCACGAGCCCCTTGGCTTCGTGATCGCTTGGCCATGGGGGGGTTGGATCCTTTATCTTCCCACCGAAAGCAAGATGCCAAACCATTTACTTGCTGGCTTTATGCAGAATTTGCCCTGGCAGATTCAATCGTGGAATTTTGACTGATTGGTCAGCTGAAGAAATTGTTCAGACTGAGTATCTATGCTTCCCCAAGGATGCTTTCAGCATACGTGTCCAAGATGTTTGGGAGGCATGCGCAGAAGATTCTGGGGGTTTGAAAATTTCTTTTCGGCAAAGCAGGAAAGGTTCCCAAGGAATGGCTGAAGTTTCCCTGCGCAACCCAGTATTTCATTTGCGGCCGGAAGACTTGCGTGATGTTTTGGTCAAGAGACGCGGATCTTGCGATGAGCCCTGTCCAGTGAATAGCTTAGAAACAATTGCAGGCAGGGTCAGGGTTCAGTTTTCAATAAGGTGTTCAAAACTAAATGCTGGGGTGTGTGCTTGTTCTCATATGGTTTTTGGACATGTATGCAAGATGTAAAACACCGTGCAGGACAGTGCCCCAACGTGTGCTTGGTCTGCCCTGATATTTTGGGAAAGCTGGTGCTTCAAAACGTGG